ATAGAAGTCAATAATGAAATATGCAAAAGCATGAGTCCCGGGTCATTGGCTTGTGACAGTGATTAAATGAGGTACATAACTCCCGTCCTAAGAATCTAGACTTCTGTAACACTATATCAATAGGAAGTACTATAAAAGGAATGGTAGCCTAATTTGGTAGTATATAACACGAATACCTGGATCGATGTGAAATAATATCCTAGTTTGGTACAGGCAACTGTTGAGATATGGCTAGGCCCTTAAAGTAGCTCCTCAGAGACACCAAACTGGAAGCACAAAGAGTGTCCACTTGAAAGATACCAATTTGGAAATAATACAAGACCCGAATTAGGAGTAATGTGATAAGTGATGAGGGGTAGAAGTTAGTTGATAAACATTGTATAGTAGTATATAAGCAGGATATATATGATAAAATAGGTTCGGGTTTGAGAACCATCCAGTGAGTTTGAAACCAGCCTGTTGCGAGACAGTTGATAAGGAGGTAAAATCTCATATAGCAGGTCGCACATAAGTACTCAAGTTAGTAATCAGGTGAGCTGATATTGTATATACTAGATAGTTGTAATTGTACTTGTGATACTTGTAACCAAAATACTTTAGCATAAATCTAATAAACAATAGAAGCAAAACTGCCAGATTAAAAAAAAAAAATCATTAGGAATTAGAAGGCTTGGAAGGTTTAGAAAATTTAGAACACTTAGAAAACATAGAAGGTATAAAAAACTTAAAAAAGTATTCAAAGTTTATTTAACAATTTAAAGATAAAAAAAATTTAAAGATAAAAAATTAGATGCCTTAGAAGTTAAAAGAATGTTTTTTTTTAATAATATAAGCTAATCAGAATCCAGTTTATTATTCAAACAGATTCAAATAAATCTACCAGATCAGATCCCAATATGAATCCAAATTTAGTAGTATTTATAAATCATGGATCTGGATCCAACCTGAACACCAGATTCAGATCAGATCCGGCTCCTCAAATCAGATCTACAGAACACTAATCAGCTAATATTATAAGTAGTAATTTTGGCTAATAGTGAAAAAAATTGGCTAAAGAAAATTATTGGCTTACATCAACAAAATATATAAACGTAATCTTATATAAAATATTACGGCCTGTAATATTGCGCAAGAATTATGGTCTGGGCAAAATATTGTGCAATTTATTATGAAATATTTCACAATTTATTATGTAGTATTACGCAATATTTTACAAAATATTATGTAATTTATTATAGAATATTTCGAAATAATTTCGGAGGTTTTAAAATTTGTTACCCATAATCAATCTATATGATTTGAATTCGGGTTCAATATCAATAATATATCAGATATGTAATAATACTATAATATTTATGTACATATGTACATACAAGACTTTCAATAATTTTAAGCGAAATTTTTATTTATTATTATTCGTGCTATATACAGTACAAACTAAAAACCAAAAACCTAAGTACATAATCCTAACTAAACTAACCCTAACCTTAATTTAAAATGAAACAATAGTAATAACCCTAATTCTAACCTTAACTATAACAAATGGTACTAATAATAATGAATAGCACAAAAAACCCTAACAATAGTACCAAATGCGATAACGGCAACGCCAAATACAGCAGTGCCAAAAACGACAAATTCACACAAAGTCAACTCTAAGAATGAATTAAATGTGCTTTAACAGCAACTATAATGATTCCGGGAATGATTCAATTGTACTCCAACGACAATTATGGTGATTACCAGAATTTCTCAAGAAAGCCCAAAGGCGCTTTAATAGCACCTAGAAAACAAAGAAGACGTTAATAATGCATTTACAAGTAGAAATAACAAAGCAACGAACAACAAAAATACTGCATCCCACAATTCTCAAGAAAAACAAATAATCCACCAAAGGTGGCGAAATCCGGCGCCAAAAATGAAATCATCTCACCATTTGCAATGAGGAACTAGCGCAACAACTCCATCGCCAAAACATAATACCAAACCAACAAGGGACGAAATCACTAGCACCATTTCAGTACAACAACTCCATCACCAAAACATAATGCCAAACCAACAAGGTACCAAAACTGACGATATTCGATGATGAAATCACTAGCACCACTTAACTTGCACAAGAAGCCAGCATACAATGCCAACTACCAAGGCACCAAAAAGCAACTCCAGCAAAGCCACGTTACTGCCAGAACCACTTAACCTGCATAATATAAATTGAAAAAAAAAATTAATAACGTTAATATCGAGTTAAAAAAAACAAAAAAAATCTGATAATAATCATAGATGATCAAACATTTATATTCCCGTGATCAATAAAATCACGAGGTCACAAGATTTTTTTAACAAACTTGAAAGTCCGAGTTATCTTGCCTCATACTACTATATATTACACATTATATCGTTCTTTCATCATTTTACTTATCAATACCACTGTTAGTTATTCTTATATATGAGATCTTAATTTGCTCTTCGAAGAAATCATAATCTCACGTTATATTTTTAGTAAAGATTACAATATTTACACCAAAGTTTAGAGTCAGAATGCATTGGAGTTATGCCGGCATTAAGCAATAATAATATAATTATATTTATAGCAAAATTAGCATCTGGGAAATTCTACTCAGCACATAAATTACTAGATTATTGGCAAAATTTATCAATTTCGATCCATTCTGTCTTGGAATTTGGTTGATTTTCTGGATTTTGATTGTGTGACTATTTGTCTGAAGCGTAGCGAGGACTTATTAACTTGAATAAAAGACAAATTAGCGCAGGTAATAAATTAACGCAGATAATAAATTAATAAGAGGTGCGTATATTGTTTTCAGATCTTTGATTGTAATTATTGTTATACTTGCCAGTTAAATTAATCTTTGCGAATATAGATCTAAAAAAAAAATTAAAAATCGATGCCTTTTATAAGAAAGAATCATTTTACCTCCTTAGAACGTCAAATCATTAACGATAATTACTATACCACTTTATAGACACTACATTTATTCATCAACAAGTTCATTTTACTGACAGTCTATTTTACTAAAGCTCTTTCACTAACAGAACTTTTTGAAATGAGCTTTAGTGAAATAGGCTATCAGTAAAATGAGTCTGTTAGTAGTAAAATGTGGTGTCTATGAGATGAATTAATCAGATTTCGCTGGCCAAATTTTAATTCACATGCAACTCAAAATTTACTATTATTAATTTTTTGTGATTATAGCTATTTTCATTAATTCTGGAACACCTAAAAATTTTCTCATTTCCCGAAATCTTTTCGGTTTCGTCTAGTAAATTATCTAACTCTGAAAACTACATCGCTGTCTCTGGGCTAAAGGTTCGAAATAGCGATGTAATTTCCAGAGAGCTAGGTAATTTACCGGATAAAACCAAAAAGATTCTGGAAAACAAGAAAATTTTTGAAAGTTTCGGAATTTATAAAAACAACTATAAATAATTATTATTTCAATCGTGATTTCTAAAGCGAGCCAATTTATCATAAATCTGAGCTTGTGACAAGCTTATACTTATGATAAATTGGTTGGCTTTAGCAATCGCGATTGCAATCACAATCATTTAAAGAAAATTAATAATAGAGGTCACAAAACTATACAACCGCAATAAATGATGTTTTTATTATAATTATTTTTATTTTTGTTATTTTATTGCAGTTTGCATAATTTTGTGCTCCTATAGTCAATTTTTTTTATGATTTATAATTGTTATTGTGATCGCAATTGCTAAAGCATGTCAATTTATCACAATTCTGAGCTTGACACAAACTCAGATTTATGTGTTGCTTTTAGCAATCACTATTATTTAATTATAGGGTCGCAAACCGCAATAAATAATTGAATAGTTTTTTTTTTTTTTTGCAGTTTGCAATATGTGAAATTTGATGATCAAGAATCTGATTTCTGATTTTTAGACTTTAGTCTAATATAGTTATTAAAATTATATATATTAAAGCCTAATCTTAAATTCTAAAAAAATATTAAAAAATCAGAAATCAAATTCAGAAATCATCGATTTCTTTTTTTTTTTGATTATCAAATTTCACAAACCGCAATAACTGATTTTTTTTTAATTTTTTAGTTGAAATAATATTGTGGAACTTATTGTATTGGGTAGGCGTTTGGAATAGCTATAGGGAAAGGTAATAAGAAAAGTTTGTTGTAGAGAATAATTAGAAGTATGTGCCAAGAAAAATAGTTAGAAGAGTGTGTTGGAAAAGAGTATAATAGGAAGATAGTTAGAGAGTGTTGGGAAAGTGTTTGTATTAGGGAGGTGTTAAAAAAGGGTAGTATTGTAGAAGGGGTTGTAACTTTTAGGGAAGGATTTGCGGGTAAATAGCTATTGGGTAAGTGGATATAGATTACAAAGTAGTTGTGTAAGTGATTGTGTTGAGATGAGGTTATCAGGAAACTGGTTGTAGAGGAAGGCATTGTATCGGGAAAATAAATTTTTGATTTCAGTATACAATATTGATCAAAATATTGCGAAATATTTTGCAATATCTTATGTAATATTGCATAATAATCTTATGTAATATTTCATAATTATATATTGCGCAATATTGCGCAATATATTGTGTAATATTACAGCTTTTTTACGTTGCATAATTTATTGCGCAATACTATGCACTATTAAATTTGCTGATGTAGCCAATCGATTTTTTTAAAATTAGCTGATTAATTTAGTATAGTTAAAAATATGATTTTGGGTCAAAATCCTGAACAATAGATTATCAAAAGAACATAAATTGGTAGTATTATAACTAGTGCCAGCTAACTTTGTTGGTATTATGTTCTTTCGAGAATCTATTGTTCGGAATTTTGACCCAAAATTCAAAAATATGCTCTTATAAAAATTTCTAATATGGAAAATAAATGAATCTAAAATATGAGTAAAGTTGAACTAAAAATTTTTGTAAATTCTGAAAAATTTCAGATTAAAAAACAATATTAAATAGTACAGTATGTTTAAACAAGCCGACTAAGTAATAAAATTTATTAGCTTGGTCATAGCCAAAAAATTAAGCTCGGCCAGAATCACTAATTGTAAAGTAGAAGCAAGGTTGGATATACTCTATTGAGAAAATTATCAATGAAGTGAATGGAGCCCAATAGAGCTAATGAAATAAATGAAGCTAATGAAGTGAATAAAATTAATAGCTTTTATAGAAAAATTTAACAAAAATAATGAAGAATAGGGCTCTAATCTATATTTCATATACTGATAGCTGACTTGTTGAAACAAATTAAACAGATCAATGCTATTAAAATTAGTTGGCATCCATTGGCTCTATACAGAAATTAATCTCAATGAGCAATATCAATAGAGAGGAAAATAAGCTCTAAAGTAAACTAACCTTAGCTAATATCTGATACATCCTTTATATGATGTATGGTTGTTTTGTTTGGTTCAATCAAAATATTGATATATATTTTTAAACTAGTTTTTAGCACATGTATATTGTTTCTTATATAATGTGCACTGATTTTTTTTTTGTCTAGTTTGTTTGAAATATTAATATTATATTCTAAACTGGTTTTAATGCAGATACTAGAAGACAGAGTATATATATTGTTTCTTCATAAAGGTTATATAATATGCACTAGCTTTTTTTTTTTGTCTAGTTCATTTGAGATATTAATATTATATCCTAAACTGGTTTTAATGCAGATACTAGAAGATAAAGCATATATATTGTTTTTTTATAAAGGTTGCACCAACCTTTTTTTTTGTCTAGTTCATTTGAGATATTAATATTACATTCTAAACTGGTTTTAATGCATATTCTAGAAGATAGAGTGTGTATATTGTTTCTTCATAAAGGTTGTACCAACTTTTTTTTTGCCTAGTTCATTTGAGATATTAATATTATATTCTAAGCTGGTTTTAATGTATGTATTATTGTTTTTTCATAAAAGTTGTATACTATGTGCCAACTCTTCATTTTGTCTGGTTCATTTAAGATTATTGATATACATTTTAAACATGTGCTAGAAGATAGAGTATGTATATTGTTTCTCTGTAAAAGTTATTAATCATCAGATTATTAGTGTAAAAATTTGTACTCTAAATAATGTAAAAAAGATCAATAATTTTTTTTAGTTCCAAAATTTTATTGAAAAATTTTTAAAATTTATTATCTTCAAATCTAAAAATTAGTAATTAACTTCATAGCTGTAAACAAAATAGTTAAAACACAAGAGGCACTAGCTCAAGCTAAGCTTAAAGATACAAACGTTTAGTTAAGTAACAAGATTTGGCAGCTTAATGCCTTGAAAAATAGAGGAATGAATATCAATACTGATAGTGAAGACAAAGAAAGAATTCAAGCCAAATTAGATTCATCATTAAAAACATTAAATAAATTAGAATATTAATAACAATATCATAAAAGATATAGAAATTAGCAAAAACAAAAACTCCAACAAGTAGAAAGGCAATATAAAAAAGCAAATCTTAATATGCAGCTTACTAGACCAACAGTTGGTCATTTGTATTTAGAAAAAACACAACTAGGCCTATTAGAAGCTATTCTTCACATTGTCTCTCCAGATAGGCAGGCAGATAAGAGATAATGTTCAGAGATATTATGATCTGTCAAAATCTTGGATCAACTCCAAAAAGCACTAAAACAAATAAATTATAAACTATTACGCTCTGCCATATATCTTAGACTTATTCCAAACAGCATAATATCATAAAAGAAAAACATATTAAAACTGTACCAGTGAAGCTTCTAAGAGCACAGAATATATGGGCTGCCGTCAATAGAAATAAGGCAGATTGATATTTTTAAAAAAATTAATGCCTTAACTTTTATATCTCATATCTCAATGAATTTTAAGGCTATATTAATAATTTAATATTTGAAAGAAAGCTTAAATAGTATGCTTTCTTTTGAATAATGAATCATTAAAACAGTCTCAAAATCCATCGAGATATTGGCTATGAAAGTTAAGTTATTAATTTTTTTTAAAATGTCAATCTGCTTTATTTCTATTGATGGCAGTCCATACCAAGAAGAGTGCATAAAGATACCCGATTCTGTACTGCTTTGATAAGAAATATCAAAAAATGGTGGCATTATTAGATTCTAGAAATGTTTTAGTAGTATCCTGAGATGATAAAATGCAAATGCCTTTTAGTTTAGCTGTGGCAAATAAACAAGGTTGTAATAAGACCAACAAATTAATTTTATATAAACTAATTTTTTAAAAAAAGCAAAATTTATATAGCACTAATCCTAATAAGGTTAGAATACTAAGTAAAGCTTCCATATCACGACTAGGTTGTTGCTAAAAAGCATAAACTAATTCTATCAGTTTATACAATATTAAATATAGAAGGAGGTAAGTATAGAAATTCTAAAGCAATAACTTATTCAGGTTCAATATTTATAAGAGCCCATAATAGTAAACATGACAGCAGTACTGTCTACTTATATGGTAAAGACTTTGATGAACTAATAGTTAAGGAAAAATTATATGATTATACTAAAATGGATGGCCAGCCTAAATCTGTAATAGTGATACTAAGTGATAGTGGTTCCAATGAGAACTTTTTATACAGAAAGACAATTCAAATAATGATTGAATATTTTGACAAATATGATCTTGATACAATCATTGTGATATACTTCACATTATATCAGAGTGCATCTAATTTAGTAAAAAGATGAATAGTGCTCTTAAGTCATAACTTAGCTGGTATGATTCTCCCACATAATACTTTTGGATCACATTTGGATTCACAGTTAAGAACAGTTGATGAGAAATTAGAAAACCATAATTTTAAAGTAGCTGAAGATGTTTTAACATCAATGTGGGAAGATACAATTATTAATGACTATCTGATTTTTGCTAAATATGTAAATTCTTTCGAAGAACCCTACTACCTGAGGGAAAAATCAGCAATCTGAATAGAAAATTATATAATAACTTGTCATTATATGACTCAAGTTACAAAGTATAATAATTCAAGTTATTGTAAACTTTTCCAAAGTAGGATCTAGCATATTCTACTGAAACGATTTTTTCTACTACTACTTTTTACCCAACAGAAACCTTATAGTATTTGTACAGCAAGTATGAGTATATCTGATAATACAATTTACTTTAGTGGCTTTCTTCTTTTTGTATTAATGGAAAGAAAGTTAATTTTTCTAGACACAAATATATAGTATTTTTCTTTCGATTGGTATTGCCCAACTATAAATAAATTAATTAATGAATATCTCTGCTTTTATTGTAAATGGTATTTTGCTTTAAAAGGAACTTTGAAATACTATATTCGAAAATGTCTATATAAGCAATCAAATTTACTTGTAGAACCTAATATAGATACTTAAGACTTCTAGACAAATTATATATTTACATCGAGAAAATTAAATAAGTACAAATCTGCAAAAACCTGTGAAAATACAGATTTTTGCAGAATTTTTTGCAAAAAACTGCAAAATTTTTTATATTTTGAAATTTTGTACAGAACTGTATTTTAATTTCTGTGGCTATAGCTGGTGAATCTGAAGTTTTATACAGATTTTCATTTAATTTATTATTTAATTTTTTTGCAAATCTGCGCAGAATAGTACTAAAAAATTTTCCTGATATATTCATAATTATCGACATAGTGAATTCTTAGTTAGTAATAAAAATCATAAGGCAATGTAGGTATATGAAGAAGTAATACTAGAAGACTTATCTGAAACCTATTATCAAATGCAAATTCAAGAAAAGTTAGTTGCAGACAAAGTATTAATAGTTGATTGGAAAGTATGGGCACAGAGTGAATAGACAAATAAGTAAAACTTATTAATATTGGATCTGTTTAAACAAGTAAAACTTATTGATATCAGATTAGTTCAAATGAGTAAAACTTATTATTATTGATATCAGATCAGTTCAAATGAGTAAAACTTATTGTTATTGATATTAGATTAATTGTTTGAGTAATATGTACTATTTTTTACTTATATAGTAATTATATATAATATATTAATATATATTAAATAGTAATTAACTTGTATTAGTTCTACTGTTTTTCTAAAAGTAAATTATAACAGTAAAGCAGTAAATATCTTATGTGATATTTTTCATTATGTAGTCTCAAATAGTTTGCTATATTATAGAAAAAATGTAAATAAATTGAAGTTACTTCTTTATCACAAGATCAGATGTTAAAGTATAAAGTATATATTTAGTAATTGTATTATATCATTGTATAAAATTAAAAAACTTTGCCTGTGCTACAAGATGCCAAACAAACTTGAAGATTACATAATCTATTATGATTAGTCAATAAATTACATAAATATCTTTTTTAATATATATCTAATTTTTAAATGCATATCAAAATCTAATTTAATAGCTTTTCAAATCAAAGATGTATTTTTGCTAAAATATTTTGTTTATGAATTATAACACTTTTTAAGGCTATACAAACTTAATAAATTGATTCTCATAATATAAAATTTTTAAAAATGACTCAGCAGCCCGGCTTTTAATTTTATTTTCAAAAAATTTTATATATAAAAAAATATAGATTTTCTAAAAAAACTTATCTGAATAATAAATATACTTGAAATTTTTTTTTAGTTTTGTAATTTTGATCTAGCTAGATTATAAAAACCGATTTATCAAGTTTGTATAGTCTAAATATTTTATATATAAATATTGGATATTTTTTTTTGTCTAGTATTATATGTATAATTTTGCTAGTGAATTTTTTTTTTTTTTCCAAAATATTAAAATTTTTAATCACACCTTATTATTCTCAATTTTTTACGCATTTATAAATAGAGAACTCTAATATTGAGTCTAGCAAATTTAACTGGTATTATAAAATCCTAAAGTTTCTCTTGATAGAGAATTTTATCTTTTAGAATAGTAGCATAAACACAAAACTCTTTCTTATGATAGCAATCTTTTAGAATATATATATACTCAAAAATTTCTTTGTAACACAGACTCACTACAGCATAATATACCTGGGTCATCACAAACTGGTTCTACTCTAAAATCCTGAAAGACAGATTCCCGAAAAGACATAATACTGACAAAGTTAGCCAGCATTAGTTATAATGCTGGCCAATTTTAATCAGTATTATGTCCTTTTGGGAAAATGGCTTTCGGGGTTTTAGAGTAGAACCTTACAAACTTTATGGTAAGTATTTTGTATTAGATCCCAGATTTTTGGTTAGCGCTCTATAGTACTTATTTATGTTTATGATTTAAGCTTGCAAACATTTGCTTTAAATAGCATTTTCCAGGTTGCTTAATTTTGTTATAGATTGTGCTAATTAAGATCATCTATTGCTCTTTTTAATTTGTAATTTAAACTTATATGCATTTATTTATAAAGGATACTTCTCTAATTTTTACTTTGTATAAGTTTTGGACTGTATTAAAAAATCCTTTAAATTTGTGATTTGATTCATAAATATTTACACTTTTCACTTTACTAATACAAAATTGAAATTACTTTATATATACTTATTAAGAATATGAATATTTGCTTTAAATGAAGTTTGATCATTAATATTATCCTAATATAAGGGTTAGAGTCCCATAGCCTAGTGGTCTAGGCGTCTAATTCTCCACAGACGAGGTCGATGGTTCAATTATAGCTGGTGGTAATTAATTGAATTAATTATCTCTGTAACTTGCAGGGGCATTTGAATGCGAAATCCTGTAGTAGTAAGACCATGTGAAGTACAGTTGACCCTCTCAAAACCGATCTTGTCAAAGTCAATAACTTTTCAAATCTGATAAAAAATTAATCTACCAAGTCTGTTCCCGTTATATAAATCTAATAGTTTGCTATTTTTTCAAATCTGATAACCTCTTAAAACTGATACAAAACCTGTTCACCATGCATACCGATTTTGAGAGAGTCAACTGTATATATATCAGAAAATTTTTTATATAGATACATATCAATATATAGCAAAAAATCGATATATATCGGTAA